GCACTCCTCCCAACAGCCCTTCGGGGTGGGAACGCTTCTTACCATCTCCACTTTACCGACGAGGAAGCCAAAGTGCAGGGAGGTTAAGCATCTGAACTTTGTTCAGTGAGCTCTGACCATGGACGCTGTTCCCCGTTTATCGCCTGACCGGAAGTTCAGCCTCCTCTAGACAGACTTCAGGGCTGAAAGGTCTGCCTAAGAAGCCAAAGCCAATGAGCGTGTCCAACTCTGTCAAAACCCCGGGAGCTCAAGGACAAAGACGCAAGCAGAAGCTCAAGGGAAGAGGGGAGTGGTAGAGGTTACCCCCTTCTCTGAATGTCTTGGGAGAACAGGGGGAAGGGGGGGCCAAGTTAAAAAATAAGTGTTACAGTGTCGATTGTCCGCTGAGGCAGGCTTCCCAGTTGGGAAGTAAGGAAGGTGCTCTGGTTCCAGCCAGGAGAAGGGTCCATGCCGAGACACTGAGGTTCTCTTAGCGCAGGGGGGCACCCTAGACTAGCGTAGCCTGGGCGTCCGGGTGTTCTCAAAGGCTACTTGTTTTCAGAGAGGAAAGAAACAGTGCCTTCCAAACCAGGGCACTAGGAATACAGAAGGGGCCCAGATACCCGCGTCTTCTTGAGTCTTGACTGACAAGAAAGGCATCATCCCCTTTGAACGGAGGCTGTTCTCCAGGCGATGAGAGTGGGGGCAACGAGGGAGGCAGCAGATCAGTTGAAGAGTTTTTCTCAGTAAGTGGCCAGAGGCAAAGATTCCATGGAGTTAAGCCCCCTGATGAAAGGGAAGCCAGAATGACAGTGGGGGGTGGGGGGAGGAAAGGGAGAGAGAAAGCCAGGTGCACACTGCGCTGTCCGCACATCCTTCCATCAGCTCAGTGCCTCACGTGTTAACAGCTCCTATGGATTCAGCACCCTCCAGGTGCCAGGCTCTGAAAACCACTTCACCTGTTATCCCGTAGGATCCTCATAACAACCATCCGGGGCAGGCACTATGACCAAGTCCGTTTTACGAGAAAATCGAGGTTCCTGGCTTTTACCATGTGGCCCAATCTTGGAAATGCAGTGAAAGAATGTCTAGTAATGGTGGGAGCACAAAGCCAGCCCAACTCTGGGCCAGAGATGGTAGGACGACAGAGCTGAGACCAGGAACAAAGGGGACCCAGGAGCTAGGGAGGAGCAGATCCTGGAGGAACCCAGCAGAAGAGCACTGATCAGAGCGGGGCAGGTACACAGGGCTCAGACAGGGAGGAAGATTAAAGTCAGGAAGGCAGGTGCCATGAGCCCCTCCTCACCCTGCAGCTGTGAGCATCCTCGTGTTTGATAGAGAAGGACGTACGTTCAGAACTCTCCCCTTCCCCTTCCCTGTTTATTTTGCCATAGCCCTTCTCCCCATCTTACATGGTGTATGCTTTGTAGTTTAGGCCTCTCTTTCCCTAATAGCACGTACGGTCCAGAAGGCACAGACTTTTTTTTCCTGTCCACGTCTATATCCCCAGCACCTAGAGCAATGTTTGGCACTTAATTAGCACTCAATAAATATGTGTTACATGAATAAATATGCAACCATAACAGAGGTCTCCCAAGCACTGTGTGCTTGCTGCCCAGCAGGTCTTACCTCCCCTGTCGGGACGCCCTCAGTCACTGTCGTCTACTGTGTGAACAAGCAACGTGGGATGCACAAGGTTTCTAGGAAGCAGGATCAAAAATCAGCTTCTGAGCACCCTCCCCATGCCCAGCAGTAGTCCAAACAGCAAAGGTCATGCTGGCAGTTCCCAAATGTTTACATTGGTCAAAACGCATTATGGCCCAGCCAGTGTGGCTCAGTTGTTGAGCATCGACCCATGAATCAGGAAGTCATGGTTCGATTCCCAGTCAGGGCACATGCCCAGGTTGTAGGCTCGATCCCCAATAGGGGGCGTGCAGGCCGATCGATGGTTCTCTCTTATTATTGATGTTTCTATCTCTCTGTCCCATTCCCTTTCTCTCTCTGAAATCAATAAAAACATATTTTTTTAAAAAAAACTCATTATGCCTTATTACATAAAATTGATTAAAAGAAAAAAAAAAAAAAACAGCCCAGCTGGCGTGGCTCAGTGGTTGAGCATCAACCTATGAATGGTTCAATTCCTGGTCAGGGCACATGCCAGGGTTGCAGGTTCAATCCCCAGTAGGGGGCATGCAGAAGGCAGCCGATCAATGATTTTCTCTCATCATTGATGTTTCTCTTTCTCCCTCTCCCTTCCTCTCTAAAATAAATAAAAATATATTTAAAAAAAAAAGAAAAGAAAAAGAAACAAAGATAGACTCTGCTCCTTCCTCCACAATGCCTGGGACCATCCCACAGGGCTCTGTTCCCAAAGGGCTCCCCTCTGTTCTGATTCTCTTGTGAGGAGGGAAGGACTAAAGGACAAGCAGAAGGACAAAAAGGGATTAAAGAGACATCTCCTCTTCAGATCCTCATATTTGAAATCTTAGGCTTTCAAACAATCAGATGCCATGACTTAATTTTAAACATCTCTCAGCTCAAGAAAGAGCTGAAGCCATGTCTAAGGTCAAACGAACTATTTGCTCTAGAAAAATTTACTTAGAGGGAAAAGGTTCCATCTCCCCAGGCACCTTTTTTAAAGAGTCTTGGTCATCAAAGTCATCCTGCAAAGCCCTCTGACTTCTGCGGGAAGGCGAGCAATGTTTCTGGTCCGCCCGATGTTTGACGGACAGGATGGCTTTACATTAAACACATGTGACGGCGTGAATGCTCTTCCCGTGCAGTGTGCTCCCTCCATTGAAATCCACGCCGTGCCCGGCAGGTTTATGCCGGTTTATAACACGGAGAGCACAAAGTCACCTTTTTAAACCAGGCTAGGTCTTGGCAGATGTCTTCACTTTACTGACTTGAGTCAGACATTTGCCTGTGAGAAAATATCCAACTTAAGACATAGCCTTCAAGAGTGACATTGATTCTGAGATATACTCTGGATTTACCGACTGTGTCTGGGGGCAAAAAACACAACCAGCCCCGACCGGTTTGGCTCAGTGGATAGAGCGTCGGCCTGCGGACTGAAGGGTCCCAGGTTCGATTCCGGTCAAGGGCATGTACCTTGGTTGCAGGCACATCCCCAGTAGGGGGTGTGCAGGAGGCAGTTGATCGATGTTTCTAATTCTCTATTCCTCTCACTTCCTCTCTGTAAAAAATCAATAAAATATATTTTTTAAAAAACACAACCAGATTAAATATAGTCATTGATTGTAAGATGTCTTCTGATCCCAGGAATGTTTAAATGGGAACAGGGATACATCCTTTATTTCAAAAGGAAATTCAGTAATATTAGGTCCCATTTTCAGATGAGTAAGAAAAAGTAAAAAAATTAAGTGGTCACCCAAAGCAACTCTCTAAGGACTTCTCCATCCTCTTAACCAGAATACAACACCGCCTACCACAGTATGTGGAAGTGCGTGTATGAAACTTGGCAATTAATGGCTTTGATGAATATAGGAACAAAAAAGTGGTCCTGTATGTATTCATATGCCCTCTCCTGGAGTGTGGCCACCCTTTCTGACCAGTAGGTGTGTCCTTTGCAAGAGCTGGGGTAGAGAGGCCCCATGCAAAGTCCTGAAAAACTTATTTTTCCAATGAGAACTCCTTACACATGTGGAAGGCCTTTCTCCTCTCACCTGTCGTCCTTATGGATCAAGGGAAGCTAAAGATAGGGGCTGGTCAAGACCAGGTGACCATTTACTCAGATGGGGAGACGGGTGGTGAGGCGTGATGAAGGTAAAAGGGGAAGACAAATGGGGGTTCATTCTCTCAGTTCATTTATTCATTCTTTGTTTCACTCAGCAAATACTTATTGCTGCCCATTCAGTACCAGGTTCTCCGCAGGGTGCCGA